TCCTGACGACATGGATGACGACGACGACGAGTAATAGGGTAGCTTGAGCGAGTAGTTCTTACGGTTGACTTTTATGTGCTTTGTCACTATGTTGCTTGTATTCTTTTCTTTGGAATCATCAATTAACCCTCTTACCAGTCACTTACTGGCTTACGGCTCTAACCCTGATGGAGTTTTGTTACTTTCTTTTCGTAGGTTTCTAACTCGTTGGTCATAGCCAATGGTTTTACACTCGCTGTTGCTTTTTGTATTTTTACTCCATCTCATGTTTTAACCGTGCTAGGCCAATTGACCCGCTTCTGGTTTGGCAGTGTTGAGATTGTTTAATTGTTCTTTCCAAACATGTCGATTAAAGTAGATTCATGCTTCGTCGCACATGATCGGCGTCGAGTGATGGTCGGACTCGAGCAGTGGTCGGTCCACGAGCCGTGTTTAGTCGAAAATAAGACCTATTAACAAACATAGGCTATCTCGTAAAACCGCCGACTAATGTAGATCTGTGCCTGTTCGCACTTGGTCGACGCCAACAGTGGTCGGACCCGAGCAGTGGTCGGCCCCGAGCCCTGCTCGGCCTGCTCTGTATAGCTGGTTTTACCGTCACCGTGTAGGATTGGATTTACCAAGCTTACGTCTTTGAGTAGCCGTAGTCGGTACCTGTTGCCCCCTACTCTCAATTGTATTGTCGATATCCTTTGAGAGTACGCTTGTAGACGAGACAAAGTATTTTATCAAAAAGTCTCTTGGTATCTCGTTTTGGATTTAAGAGATACAGTTGACAGAGAATCAAATAAATGGGTACTTTATTGAACACAAGGAATTATAATTAGAAATCTTGTTAAAAGTAGAAAACAACCATATTTGAAGGAAGAAATAAAAGGTCAACAGCCCCCCTTAGTAGAAGTTCTGTCGTTGTCCCTCATTGAGGTATAGTAGCATTCCCGTGACACTCGTTGTTCTCCTTTAATTTCTCCTACYCCACCCGGTGTTGGGAACWTCATGGATTGGTGATATGTGGATGGTATTGCTCTRAGCATATGYATCGTCGGTCTTCCCAGTATTGCGTTGTAGGAGRATGTGTAGTTAACGACCAGAAAGTCCACCATCTTGGTGACACTCTTCGRCCCACTTYCGAATGTTACTGGCAACTCTATCCTCCCTTCGGRGATGACCCGTTCTCCCCCAAATCCTACCAKTGGTGCCGAACTACTCTTGAGCACCTTTTCTCCTAGATCYATAGYTTTATAGGCTGTCCAGGAGAKGATATCCGCCGAGCTGMCCCCATCCACCAAGACTCGATGTACTTTAACATTTGCTATCTTCAACGTGATAACAAGTGCATCGTTATGAGGGTGAAGGAGGTGAGTTGCTTCGTCTTCCGAAAATTCAATTGTCACCGGCCGGTTTGTAGTATACGCGTGGTAGAC